TTTATAAAAATAGGGGTGCCTGGGGGCGCCTGGGTGGCGCAGTCAGTTAAGCGTCCGACTTCAGCCAGGTCACGATCTCGCGGTCGGGGAGTTCAAGCCCCGCGTCAGGCTCTGGGCTGATGGCTCAGAGCCTGGAGCCTGTTTCCGATTCTGTGTCTCCCTCTCTCTCTGCCCCTCCCCCATTCATGCTCTGTCTCTCTCTGTCCCAAAAATAAATAAAAAACGTTGAAAAAAAAAATTTAAAAAAATAGGGGTGCCTGGGTGGCTCAGTCAGTTGAGCATCCGACTTCGGCTCAGGTCGTGATCTTGCGATTCATGAATTCGAGCCCCACATCAGGTTCTGTGCTGACAGCTCGGAGCCTGGAGCCCGCTTTGGATTCTGTGGGTCTCTCTCTCTCTGCCCCTTCCCAGCTCACGCTCTGTCTCTCTCGCACTCAAAAATAAACAAATATTTTAAAAAATGTTTTTAATAAATAAACAAGTAAATAAATGATAAACTGACAACCTTTGAGGGAAACACTCAGATGAAGACACAAGGCACATACTATTACAATCATCAGAATCTGGGGGAAAGGCAGCAGCAAAGGTCTAACACAGAACCTTCTAAACCTGCTCAGTTCACAGAGCTCTTGGTGTTTTAGTAATTTTTTCAGTGTGTCCCTGAGACAAACAAAACACCTCAGTTTCCATTTAGTAAGTAGTTAGGGCCAAACAACTTAACTATTTACGTCCTGTGAACTTAGTGTCAGCTGGGCCCTGCGCAACTTCCCAAACCCTGGAATCAGATTGGACATCACTCTCTCCATTTCTTGTTTCCATGATGATTTTCAGGAGATGCTTGCTTTTTATCACAGCCATCACCAAAAACCCAGCTTTGCAGGGATAGGACACCCACAAAAGGAACCGCAGGAATATCATGAAACTGAACAAGCTCAAGCTAATAGCTTGCTCTGTGTCCAACAGAGGTCACCATTCCCCTCTAAAGTTAAAAATACCCTGCTGTGCCAGTGAGTTCACTGCAGTGCCCAGGGGACCTCACTCCAAAGCCAAAGCCATGTCCAAGAGAAATCCCACATACTGGTTTTTCTTTTTTTAATCCAATTTTTGTAAGTCTTAGTGGTACAAACTCAGAGCTGGTCAGCTGGATATTATTAAGGAGGTAATATGATGGCTTAAAGTAGAGGTTTCTTTCCATCCTTAACACAGATGACTGAATTTCACCGCACAATCTCACTTGTTATCCCCAGCAGCTCTAACAGCTTAGGTAATGTTTTGCAAATGAAGAAACTGAGGCTTAGAATGAGGCATACTAGCTCTAACAGCTAGAAAGTGTCAGGGTTAGAAGCTGGCTTAGCTGACATCTGAACCCAGCTTGACTCCATCATTGGTCATTTCCAAGAAAGTCACTGGCAATTACTGAACACAATGATGCTCAAATAGTAGGGTCATTCCCCCCCCACCCAAATTCTTGAGTTATACAGTTGTTCATAAGCCACGGGAGAAAATCGGTTTGCAATTTGTCAATATTCACAGAGTCGTGGTATTCTCTGAAAGAGATTAACCAGTAAGAAAAAACTGTGCCTCTTTTGGGGTAAAAGATACCACGATATGTGCATTTTTTTCATTACTTGCATTTTAAATGGAAAAAAATAAAGCCAAGAAGTCCAACCCTATGAAGCACATAGTTCTTCAAATCTAAGTAAACCAGTAGGATAAAAAGCAAAAAATACTCATGACAGTTATCTCTCGGTGGCGGCATTAAGTCATAACCTCCTTTTGTTCAATTTATAGTTCCTAAATTTTCACCAATGAGTGTAAACTGCTTTGTGATTTACTGTCAAGTTGTTGCATTTTTAAAAATCTCAATTTATTCAAAGTTTTTTTTCCTCCTTCACAGTTTTATTTTTTTATTGAAAAAAATTACATATAGGAAAGTACGTGCATTAGCCTACGTATACATCAGTACACATCTCAGTGATTTTAAGTGAGTTTGCACAGGTGACCACCACCCAGATCAAGAAATAGTACAGGGTCGCCTGGCTAGCTCAGTCGGTTGAGGACGTGACTCTAGATATCAGGGTCGTGAATTCAAGCTCCGTGTTGTGTGTGGAGCCTACTAAAAAATAAAAAAAAAAATAAAGTGAAATGATAAAAAAAAAAAAAAAAAAAAAAAAAAAAAAAAAAAAAAGACATAGTACATTCCCAGGACTTGGGAAGGCCTCTTTGTGCCTGACACCTGCTTCTCCCTCCCCTTAAAACTGTCTATTCTGACTTCTAACACTATAGATCAGTTATGCCTGCTTTTGACCTTCGTATAGACGGCATCACATGACGTGTACTTCCTGGTATCTGACTCCTGGACGCTATGTTTCTGAGATTTCACCCACACTCTTGCACAGAGCTGTTGTTCGCATGTTCACTGTTGACAGTATGCCACCGAATGAATGCAACACTATTCATCCGTTCTAGCTTTACAGATATTTGGATTGTTCCCGTGAATTTTCTCTTGTTGTTGTTTATGGGGGTCATCTATGCTACAAAGCAGAGGTATCAAAGAAATGAATTTATTCTTCAACACTGTCACCATGTGCACTTTATATTTTGTATTATGTTAAATATTAACAACAGATAAATAAGACAGCAAATAAACGTACTTTGAACAAAACCACAGTTTAATTCTTTCACTTGAGAAAGTAAAAGATTGCAGCCCTAATAAGCCACGCGGCTACAAACCTCCTCTCCACAGCGGCCACCAGGGGTCGCTACGAAGTCACCTCATCCAGGTCAGGGTCAGACACCACAGCACTGACCATCACTTGACCTGCATATCCTGGGAGGTTCTTGTGCACTTGTGTCTTTGTGGGAACATGAGCTTCTACTCACTCTGATTCAGATAGTGCGTTGGAGCAGAAAGCCCCTCTGCATAGAACCACTGTGTCCAGAGAGTTTCAGACAACAGAATGTTTGCATGCACAGTTCTACAATGGATTCTTTAGTGCCCCTCAGACTGCTACATAATAATCTGAGGTCCTTCTAAAAGCAAAAGCCCATGGTATTCTGATTCAGGTTTGGAATGGGACCCAAGATTCTGCAGTTTCACAAGCAGCCCATGTGACAAGGGTGTGCAGCCAGAGATGGAAGCTAACTCAGTTCTAGATGGCACCAGCATGCCACAAGGCAGGTGAGGCCTCTGCTCCCATTTCTGACTTATCTCCGGTTAGAAATGTCACCATGAAATAAAAAAGAACCAAAGTGTCAGTCTTAGTTACTTATCATACGAGACAGTTGGCATAAATATGAATAATGGGCAACCTAATGTTTTAATTCCATCTGGAAAAGCCCAACAACCCTATACCAAATTAGGAATTTTAGTTTACCTGAAGACTTCAATCCTCAGATTCGTCTGATTTCAATTTGTGTTTGTGCAGGAAGGCCAGACCAGTTTGGAAGCAAAGTGTTGAGTATCAAAACACAGTCAGTCGGGTGAACTTCATTCAATCCTGACCGGTGATGAAATGGTCAAAGTCAGTTCTGCCCTTATCAATTCTACATACCTTTGCTGTTTTATGACAGACTCAAAACCAATAGTTTCCACAGGTTTATTTCCAATTGTAACAGGTTGCTCTTTTCCATCTTCCTCTGGTCCATCTTCTAACACGTAGCGATTATTCACTGCAGTGAGAAAGTCCACTCCAAAATTTACTTTGTTTGGACGAACAAAGGATCCTCCTGTTGGGTGCCTGGGAAAAAGAAGAAATGGAACAGATAAAATATCATCAATGTGGACATTTAAACACAAAGACACATTTGAAAATCCTCTGTAAATTCAGTCTGCCAAGAATGTAAAATGTCTGCATTTACAAATTTGTTCACAAATATTTAGTAGCAAATAAAAGCAATCACACATTTTTTTTTTTTCTTTTTCAACGTTTTATTTATTTTTGGGACAGAGAGAGACAGAGCATGAATGGGGGAGGGGCAGAGAGAGAGGGAGACACAGAATCGGAAGCAGGCTCCAGGCTCCGAGCCATCAGCCCAGAGCCCGACGCGGGGCTCGAACTCACGGACCGCGAGATCGTGACCTGGCTGAAGTCGGACGCTCAACCGACTGCGCCACCCAGGCGCCCCAGCAATCACACATTTTTTAAAGAATATCTTTTTCAGTAATCTCTACACCCAGTGTGGGTCTTGAACCTACAACCCTGAAATCAAGAGTTGCATGCTCTACCAACTGAGCCAGCCACATGCCCCAACGATTACATTATTTACAAAAAGAAGAGAAAGAAAATTTCATCCACCAGAATGGTCATAAATGCAATGTTCTGAAGGCCGGCAAATTTTCTCTATGCCGAAAAATCAAAATCAGCATAAAAGGAAAATAATATACAAATGTATAATTGATACGATTCCTCAAAAAGGGTTGTGAGCTTATGCAAGCGTATCAAGTCCCAACAGGTCAACAAACAAGAAATAAGGAACAGACAATTCGCACAAGAGGAAACAGAAGTATTAAGTCCATAGGGGGAAGTTTCACCTTGCTAATTAAGAAATGCAAATTCAGGGGCGCCTGGGTGGCGCAGTCGGTTAAGCGTCCGACTTCAGCCAGGTCACGATCTCGCGGTCCGTGGGTTCGAGCCCCGCGTCGGGCTCTGGGCTGATGGCTCAGAGCCTGGAGCCTGTTTCTGATTCTGTGTCTCCCTCTCTCTCTGCCCCTCCCCCGTTCATGCTCTGTCTCTCTCTGTCCCAAAAAAATAAATAAACGTTAAAAAAAAAAAAAAAAAAAAAAAAAAAAAAAAAAGAAATGCAAATTCAAATAATTAAATTATTCTCAACAAAACTGGCAAAAAATAAAGAAAAATCCTAACACCTCAAGGACTTCAAGACTGGATTTTTCATTGTATAATCATACTCTAGGGAATTTGTCAGCAATCATTTAAAAATAAAAACAAAATTGCATTTACAAAGATTCTGTATAATAGCATTTATTTGTGACTGAGGAACTCTGGACACCATAAAAAAGCCCAGCTGAATAAGAACTATTAATTCAACCAGACAGACGCAGTCATTAAAAATTCTAGCTGTAACACTTAATAAAATTACAAAATAATGTTGAGATTTTTAAAAATCGAACCAAATCGTACATGACACACCTATAGAGGAATCATATCCAGACAGAAAAGGACTGAATAAGGACACAAATAAATGAAAACATTTAAAAAACAACTTGAACTAAATATATTTTAAAAAGCTTAAATATGGGGCTTAAACAGAGAATGTGGGAAGAATTCTACAGAAATATAGGATATTTTACCACAATTTCAGCTATTAGAGCAATTCTTAGTAATAACCTCTAGCAGGATTTAATGGAAAGACTAATTATATTACTGTGTGCAATGGCCACTCTGTCAGGCTTTCAAGAGATTCAAAGTCGATCTTTGGACCCCTTAAATGTCAGCATCCACTATTACATCATGGCAACAAGACCTTATTTTCAGGATAATCTAAGTATGCGCTATAAAACAGCTATACGTGTTAATATTAATCACTTAAAAGAGTAAGTGATGAAATACATGAATGGCCAAAAATTACAAATACTATTTCGGCTCGTTACCTTTAACTCTTAAAGAAATCGAACCTTCTTAGAACTCACCAGAATTTAAAAGGATGAAAACTTATACTGATAAATTTTGACCATATCTACACTTTTTTTTTTTTTTAAGTGGGGCCACAGAGAGCACCACAATGTGAAAGGGACTTGTGATCCCCAGAAGTCAAAAGTGAGGTCTCAGGGAAGCAGAAATGGCACAGAGGTCACTAGAG